TCAGAGCAGCAGCTTCAGCCCGCAGTCCCTGTTGCTGCTTTGCTCCTCCAGCCTCCTCTCTCCCATAGCCACAGACATCACTCAGCTTTCAAAGCTTTTCACAGGATATCCTCCTTTGCCGGGGCAAATTCCTTACGAGCTGGTTCCTGCCGTCAGGAAAGTTAATCCCTGACGCCAGACGTTTATGTCCAAAAAGGAGACAGAGGAGTCCTGTAACTTTATTTGAATAAAGGGAGAGACCATGGACATTTCCTGTGTTGTCTCTCAAATTTTTGGGGTAGCAGCCCCTGTTTTATTCTATGTTCCCTGCCATATCACCATCTTCCTTTCCTCATTGGCTGAGGTACTCAGAAGGTACAGAGTTCCCCAAGGGCCTACTCTACGCCCCTCTCTAATTTGCCYCTTCCTTTTGCAATATAAAAGGAAAACAAGAAACCCTAATCATAATTACATTGAGTCTTTTTTCTTTTTCTCTAGAATCAAGAATTTAAAACAGCCTTGGCTGAACAGCAGACTGTGGTAGTGACTAACATTTTCCAGAAGTAAGGATTTCTTCTCCTACTTCCCTATCTATGAGCTCCTGGCCGTATCTACAAGCAGATTCCCACTGTCTTTTTGTAAAGACAAATCCATTGTTTCTAGGACTTTTGGAAATCTTTGTGGAATACTCGACACTGCCACAGGAAGAGAGGTAAATGTCAACAGCCCCCACATATTCTGCAGCTCTGGGGGGCTTTCCCCTCTGCTTTGAGCAGTGGCTGGAGCTTTGGGTCATAGGTAGAGCTGTGCTAAAAAGGCAGAAATCCTGCAGACTGGTGCCAGCCTGCAAAATACATGTGGGACAGTCTTTGTCCTTCTCAGATGCCAGGAGAAAGGAAAGGAGGGAAGCAGCACCTTCCAGAGAAGGACGTGCTACTCACTCTTAATAGATACTGAATGAAAGGAGAGGTGCCTTAGAGCATCTCACTGCTCTTTGGGGTTACAGCTTGGGAGTCCTGAATTCCCATTTCTGGCTGCCAGCAAATACATCTGAATCTCASTGGTAGTTCYTCAGCCRCCAGCAGTGCTGCACTTGGGAAGTGCACATAGGGAAAGATGTATAGGGTGTCCCTAAAAGCCCTAAGCCCTGCTTGTATCCCAGGATGAATCCGCAGAGCAAATTATTTAGACAGGTGAGTTGTCATGGTCTTTTCCCATGTATATTTGTGCAAAAAGCAGCTTAGGTCAGTGGCAGGAGATATAGTTAGGGATTGATTATTTATCATTTTTCTAATCATCTCAAATGGATAGGAAAAGAGTGAATTTTGTCTGCATTAGTCTTCCCTGGCACACACAGGTTGAAAACTGTTCAGAAACCTAGATCAGCCCGATCTTACTAAGTCAATACCCTGTAAGTTCTCTGCCTCCACTTTGTTTTGAAGGTGGGGCAGTGGAGCTAGGAAACTGATCCAGTGTATATTACATCTATAGCCCATTTATTATATTCTAGAATAAAATACAGAATATCCATTATTATAGATGATTAATTAAATTTATAATCAGGTAATATGTATTATTTGATACATTTTGATCTATTTGGAAAAATATTTTCATTTAATCTGTATCTGAAATATTCTTCCAGCCTGGGACACTGAAGATGTACTGCTGTCCAAAGCCTTCTGGCTGCACAGCAGGCAGYCCACRGCTGGGTGCATGCACAGCCACCCACTGGCCTTGCTCTTCTCGCCATTTGGGCTGCTGTTTGCACAGAATTTGGATGATTTTTCCTCAATAGACCTACAAATGGGGAATCCAGCTTGCAATGAGCACACATGTGGCAGGGCACCACAGGGCAATCTCCAATCAGTTCGGGTATCACATGTGCTTTCATTGCTGCTGGGGACTGAGGAACTCTCCAAAGCACCAAGGACACCTCAAAGAGTTGCAAAGAATTGGCACTGTGCTCCTGCTGTTATCCCCATGAGAAAAACCCACTTTGGCTTTTCTTAGATGGTAATTTTCAAAGAAACTAGGAAAGCTGCTGTTAAGGACAGGAACCTGCAGGGGCTGCAGAAGGGGCTGGCAGGGAGCTGCTGCAGCTGAAGGTGCAGGGGAAGAGGCAAGTCCCGCAGCCAGGGAGGAGGAAGAAGCCCTTGCAGCAGCAGAGGCTGAGGAAGAGGCTGCTGATAAAGCAGCTCCCGCTGCAGCCCAGGCTGAGCATTTGGAGGCACCAAAGTGTCCCTGGGGGGCAGAGGCAGCTGAGTGCAGGCAGGGCTGCAGAAGGCCTCCATGGAGAGCCTGGGYACAGAGTGGCCTGTGTGCCCTGATCACCTTTTGTTTGCCAGAAGAGAAGGGCAAAAACCACTGCTCTGGCACCTCAGAGGGAGCCAGGGCTTGGGCAGCACCTCTGTCCTGTCCCCAGCACGGGTCTTTGTCCTGTCCTTGTRTCCCTGGCCAYGGGGCAGGGCTGTGCGGGCGCGCGTGTCTGCCCAGGGCCTGTGGGGCAGCAGCACCTGACGCTGCTTCTGCTCTCTGTCCACAGCTCGCAGGCACTGAAGGAGCTGTGGCTGGGCACACTACAGCGGTAAGTGGTGCTGCTGCTGCTGCTGCTGCTGCTTCAGGGGATGGATGCTCCTGCAGCAGCCACCCTGGGCAGCACAGCTCCTCAGCTGGGGAGAGCTGCCCCTGCAGTTTTGGTACTTGTTGGGCACAGCTGCCTGACAAGGGAGCACGGGTGGCTTGGAGCTCACCCAGCTCTCTCCCCATCCCTTTTCCCCCTTCACAGGACCCAGGGAACCCATGTGAGCCATGTGCCTACCATCAGAGCCCTGGAGAAGGAGCTGATCCGCTGCCGTGCAGTGAGTGTCTCTCTGCTCTGGGCTCAGGGCCTGAGCTCTGCTCCCCCGGCCAAGCCGAAGAGGCATCACTGCTCACCTTCCTGTCCTCCGTGTCTCTCACCCAGGGCAGAACATGGAGCACCAGGCAGCTGGAGACGGTTATTGAAGATCTGGAAAAGGTGAGGAGGGCTGTCTTTCAGCTCAGCCCCTCTGGCTGTGCAGGGGTGCCAGGGAGGCATGGACAGTGGAGTGCCCTTGTGCAGGGCAGAGCAAGGGTCCCTGGTGCCTTGCTGCTGGCATTGGCAGCGCTGCTGTTGTGCAGGGCAGAGAGGCCAGCAGGGCAGAGGCTCCAGCTCAGATGGCCCTTTGATCTGGGGGCCTGCAATGTGAGCTGACCTCGGTTCATGCAGGCTGACAACAAGGACCAGCAATGGAGGCAGCCAGTGATGGACAAGAACTTGGCTTCTCTCCAGGTGACTTTGGAACCAAAGGAAACCTCCCACTGTGGCTGAGCTGCWCTCACTCCTTCCCTGAGTGTGGCCGTGCAGCTGTAGCACCCTGAGTGAGAACATTCTTGGGGAGAGAAAGGGCTCCCACTGGAACATGGCCCCTTGAGGTGGTTGTGCAGGGACAGAGAGCCTGCACAGCTGCCCACAGCTTTGGGAAGGGCAGGGCCACTTCTCCTCTGGGCAGGGCAGGGCAAAGCCAGGTTAAGACAGGGCAGGGGAGGGCAAGGGAAGKCAGGGAGGGGCAGGGGAGTCTTCAGTAGCTCTGGCTGGTGTTCTCCACTGATGGTCTTTGCTCTCTTTACCTCTACAGCAGCA